GACTGGAGAAAAGATGTGCTGTGATAGCTAGTATGGTGAGCTGAGGGCTGGATTTGTCTCGATTTAATGCGGATCGCTTTGTCTTTTGTACGTGATACGACAACGTGTGGACCGCGTCTTTCCCTCTTGGCCTTTGGCCTCAAAAACATCATGAACGCTTTCGTCCCTTACAATCACTGGTGCTGAGACCCCATGTAGCTCAAGCACCTATACTCACTAATTCAATGCCGTCAAGCCGGCTTGGGTAACATCTAGCATTGGCCCCTGAAGCTCTGGTACGTGATGACGAGTCCTTCTTCTGGTTCTGCTGCTCCTTACTGAGGCTACTTCATAGTTAAACTTGAATCGCCTTAATCGTCATCAGCTTTCTTGGCGCGGCTTTTCCCAAAATACCAAGGTTGTTTTGATAACACCTCAAGGTCACAGCCGTTGTGTATTAACGTATACATTGGGCCTTCTGCGGCTGCAAAACGCCAGTCTTCATTCGTAACAACCTCCGAAAGCGATGCACGGACCCTTCCGCAACGCGAGGTTGCAGGGTTCAAGACTGGATACCTGTAGCTCCCGTCGGTCAATGCTGATGGTGTGATCCACAACGATGGCGCACTGGCCTGTCTAGTAAATGTTTATTGCAAACACACGGTCTACAGAATGCCATCCGCCTGCAATAAAGGGGCTCGAGCGTATTATGACCGTCTTCCTTAAGGCAGTACAAGAGGCATCTACGTGCAGTCTCTCCACAAATTACAGGTGGCTCTTCAGGACCCTGGAACCATCTAAGCCTCCTTTGAGTTGTCAACCTCGTGGGGCAAGTCCGAAGCTTGTTTTCACCTTTTGAGCAAAGTTTAGCATGGTAGTTGAATCATTGTCATATTGTAAGCAAACAGGGTCAGAATCGAGAGGGAGGTGACGCGGCACGCTGAAATCTGAATCTATATAGACTCACTCGTAACCCCGACTCGGAGGTTCCTCCAGATAGTCACCAGTCGCCCAAAAAACAATCTTGGTGTCCACTTACCTTCAACCATCCAAAATGCACTTTGTCAAGTTTGTTCTTTGTTGTTTTGCCACTATAACATCAGCAGGGCGTTTCCACAAGCGGCAGAATGCTGATGGTAGCGTGTCATTTGAGCTTTATGCTTACGGTGACGGCATTGGCGGGTTACCTGTCATGTCCGACGGATGTGAGCCGCGCCTTAGAATTTTGTATACTGACTTACTGACCATTATGTGAAGCTCAAGTTTTTATTGGTAGCTTAGATGGTCTGGACAGAACGGCGGGAGCTGTGGTCACATGTTAGTGTGTGATGCACGAAGGCAAGCCTCTAGAAGCTGACCAGTGATGCACAGTTACGATTGGCCAAGACGGCATCTGGTATGGGTTTCCCAACTCAACGTCAACTGCTGGCAACACCACTCCAATCTGGAGCAATCTTACTCTCAGTATTCCAAGTCCTTCGTCTGGGTCTGACGCAGTGCACCTTGATAAGCCATCCAGCACGACTGTAGACCGGATCAGTGATGGCTTCGGGTTCTATGGGACTGTAGCTTACCACCTCGCATCTGGTGGCGCCTTTGAGTCCCTTTGGGCGGCTGGTGAGTTGGGAAGTGGCAAAGACTTGACCGCCATCCAGTGGAATAAAACCGACAGCACGACAGACACGGTTCCTATAATTCTCAAGTCTACCCCTCCGTCAAGTGGTGTGCCTTGAGGCCAGTTTTGACCTACGCGGTTACAGTGCTTTTGACACGTTTCGCACCCTAACCCGCAAATCACCCTGTGATGTACGGCCCAGCGAGAGCATTCACTGGGGGAAGGGGTCTTGTGTCGGTCAATTCGGCAGCCAGTTATTAGGTTTGAGATAGAAGAACCTCTGAAATCTACCTTCTGCATCTATGAGGACCCACGGCCATGTGTGCCTATGCAGTCTCATGCCCCCAGAATATTCTCATGGGCCTCCTGTTTGAGATCGCCCCGGGATACCTCCTGACCTGTGCAACCAGAAGCTGCCTTTTAGCTGTAAAAGTCCGAGGCACGCTACTGATCCTTCCAAGTTTATCGCTGGGAAAGGCTAGCCGGACAGGCACAATTCGCAGCGAGCTTGTCACATGACAATCAGACGTGCTCTTCTCTTATGGCGGTCAAAATCGTTCTTGCAGTTCTGGCAGCTTAGCGCGTAATTTTGTTGTGGATGCTAAGATGCATTCCTCAAGATCTGATACCGTCCAAAACAGTACAGTTCCTAATGCTGGATTTCCCATTCCTCAAGCCAAGACTTCACGGATTCAACAATGAAACTTTGGGCTTTCTTCACTGGTTGTGGCGGTAACTGGCATGTCGTTTCGTTCTTGAAGATGCCATTCTCATCCCAGTGATGAACAGCGCCACCGCCAATGATCATACGAGGTTCGCTTACCGTTGACTCTGGATACTGAAGCCCGATCTTGTGTGGTGTAGCAGCACGCCATGGATCAGCCTCGCCATCTATAATGGCCACGCGTGGGAAGCTGAAACGGAAGCCACCGTGCTTGTTGATGTTTTCCACCTTAGGCTCGTCAAAAATATTGAAAGCTTCGCGGCATGTGGTTGAGGTGAAATTGTAATCAATCAGACGCGAGATCATTGGAAGTTGGCTTTCTGGGACGCCTGATCCTGTCTGGAAGTAGCCCCATCTACGAAAAGGGGTTAGTGCTAGTGGAATTTTGCCTTGGAACGATACTTCACTTACTCAGTGCAGACTTGATATTGCCAAAGCCTCCAAACCTGATTAAGGTCGTCCGTGGAAAAGTCTGTGCGGCCACCGAAACACGAGTCTTGCGGACGACCACGGCAAGTCGACACGCGTGTGAGGTTGACGTAACCAATGTAATTTTGCATAGTAAGCGTGAGGGCATCAATCTCGTCCTGATACCCACCTGTCACCAGGATCGACTTGATGGAGTCTTTCAGTTCGTTTGTTGCAGGGTATAGAACCTCGGTCGATGTCATGTTGCCGCAGTAAAGCGCAAAGGCAGGACTATTTACGGCCGGGTCCCAGTTGACCGATTGCAGTCCTGCGATCCCACCCCTGATGGCGCTTGCAAAATGAACATCGCGAGTGACATTGCCGAGACCGAAGACTGTCTTGAGTTGTAAAACATCATCTCTGTCGCCGCCCAGCAGAATGTTATCGACCACGTGGGTCACTTTCTGCGTCGCTGGTGCGCAACCTTCGGGCGCGAAAAGTCGAGCAGCTTCGTAGTACTCCCAGAAGTCGACTACTGCAGCTGTTACACCCGAAGACGAGATGGTACCCCAGAAAATGTCAGGGTACAGCTTGCGGAGAATAGCGACAAATGCACCGGCGTAAGAACCGCCATACGCGATCCAGGGGGTGTTTGGGGAAGTAAGATTTACGTCCTCATATCCCGGAAATATAATATTCTGGGCAAAGTAGGCTGTGTCGGCCAAAGCCTGGTCGGTGGTTAGGAAGCGTAGATTTTCGGTGCTGAGATCTTCCGTCACGTAGCTAGCTCCGTAGTAGCGGTGCTCGAGGATGACACCGAGACCATTCGTCGCCTCAGCCAGGATTGCAACGATGCCTTTCTGCAAGAACGGCAGACGCCCCTGGCCACTCGTTTCACCCCCAGAGAGAACAATCACAGGACCGCCCTCTTTATAGAAGCGATCGTCAAACCAGTATCGTAGGTCGAATGATCCGTTAGTGTGCGGTTCATATTTTGATTCGTTGTGGAAGTGATCGATGGGAACCGACAGCGTGTAAGATGGGTAAAGAGTTGCGGGGTCCGGTGCGCCGCCATTACTTTGTCTTGTTTTAAGAAGCGGCGACGCAAGGTTCTGAGTGACATCTTCTACCAACCCCTGAAAGAAGCCAAGGTTCTCTGTGGTGCCGAGTTCCATGGAGGCGGCTACAAGACCCAAGGCTTGTGAAAGGAGGAGAAGGCCTGCGGCAAGCCAAATGATGGCCATTTTGACTTTGAAATAGAATTGGCGTTTTCAAAAAGGCATCTAATTGCTAAGGTATGTCCATTATTTATCCTCGCCGTGGGAAGATATGACCCCTCGTCTGTCGACGGACTACTGCAGTCCGGGTGCCGACGCCACCCGGCCGATTGTGACCTTCCGTATTGGGGCAATCTAGAGGGTCTATACGATTGGCCGATGACAGCAATCTAGCAGTGGTCTCCAGAGTCTGGACCAGATCCCATACAAGGGTGCTTATCCAATGCCCCAACCATGTGTCGAACATGTCGTCACGGGTCGGGTGGCTGCTCAGTCTCCACGGAAGCCCATTACCGAGCATTGGGAAAGGTGGAAAATGAGTAGGCAGATATAAGATACACCAATTGTCGCCATCTGCGTAGAATAGAATGTCATCTTCCGAAGATGTCCATGCTCGTTCACATTGTATCCAATGCCCTGACTAAATCAAGCAATTTTTAGATCGACGTAAACGATGTTAGAAAAAGATACTTCATCGACTATCCATTTCCCACTATCAACAAAAGCCCACGTGAATATCTGGACAGCTGGTGATAGAGCATGAACATGTCTGATGACATAGGCCGAATTCGAGCTAATTCTCCATAGGCGCCGCTCATATCAGTTCAAACATGAGAGAATGCCTGAAGTTCTGACGATGAACAAGAACTCATTCAGAAACATCTGACGCAATGCTGAATAACCGGCCACTAACTTCGTTAGACCCTAATCTTGCGAGACCTAAAGGAATGTCTTGAAACGACACTTCCTCAATATGTGGTTCCAGATCGCCTGCCACTATCATGTCCAAGACGTACAGCAATTCTTCAATGCTGGCACTCGTTGAACCTTTGACCGAGATATTTTTTGTGACGAGCTCCGACATTGTCAAGGTTACCTGCGACGCGGCTAAGACGACCACAACCACCGTGCCTCCCGCCCGGGTGGCAGACATGACACCCTCGACAGTTTGCTGAGCGCCGGCAAAATCAACAACAACATCATACTTACAAAGTCTCTAATGTTTGGTCGCCAAGGCCATTGCGCCGGCTGCACGCGCCGGCTCGAATATGGAAGGGCTGATGACAACGCCATAGACCTCCGCCCCTAGCCTGGCGGCAACAGCAACACCATTGAGTCCAAGTCCACCGAGGCCGATAATACAGGCGGCGCACGTGTATTTGACTCGACCTTCGGCGACGACATGGTAGGCCGTCGCAATGGAGTCAGTCGCCACTGCTGCCTGAGCGAGGCTTACGGCATCCGGAACCTTCACCAGGTTCTTGATGGGCGCAACTGCATATTCAGCATAGCCCCCCTGATCTGAGGCTACTGGATCTGAAATTGTTACATTATCACCTCAGAAGGGCGCAGTGTCGGCTCTGCCGCAGCCGTGAGCTGACATACGGCATGCATATGTACCTTAAACGTATGACCTTTCGAAGAATGGCTTTCGTGTCGCCCGGGGCTTATTTTATCTTCTCGTTGTCATTTTGCAAAGGACCACTTTGGCAAAAATGGGTCAACATTGGTCAACTTGTTTTCTCTGATGATCACTCCCGATCCATTTACATTAAATATGCGAGTCCTGGTCAAAGTCTAGGCGTAGCCGCGAATTGGGAGTACCGGCCGCTACTGACAAGTTCTCTGGAAGTTCCGCCAGCAATTGGGGCCAAGCTAGTCCTCCTGGACTTCTAGCTGACGCCATTCCGAATGTACCGTTGCCGGGTTCCCTCGCCGTCATCAATAAAGTGGTCGATAGGTTGGGACACTTGGCATGTTACCTCGATCTCCATACCCAAATCCTGCTACGGCAAAGATGTAGGCCAGTCGCAAAGCGATGTCCATGGACTACCTTTCTTCTTTTACAACCCTAAGTACACTTCGTTGGCTGGCACTGAGCTAGGCCTGGCAAGGTAGGGCGAGTTCTTTGTCATCCTTGAAAAAAGGTATGGCCTCGCTTCTCAATGTTACAAGGCGTATAGCAGCATTTGCGGGCAAGAAGTTGCGATGAAGAGCCCCTGTCTCTGGTCTGGCTGTGATCGATCCAGAACAGGATCATGCTTGCGGGGTGGTGGGGGAAACTCCGCCGACGATTAGGGCAATTGCCGTTAGTTGTGGTGGGTCTCAGGACAAGCACATACGCGGCCCAATCATGCGGCACCAAAAAGACGCATCGTGACGATGATCAGAACTTGCCAAGAGTCGAAACTACGGACTGCGGGGTGGAGGTTATAAGCGCATTGCGGAGAGGGTGGCTTCGCGTCCAGTCCCAGTATCTCCAATGCGTCGCTGGCTCAAGGGATCAACGAAGCGACACGCAGCATCGCAGGTCTTAAAACCATGAAAGTCTTCTCTACTTCGGCCTCGGGCCTGACGATCCCGAAAACTGAGCCAGGTCAGTTGGAATACTTGTCTGGAAAGAAATGGTATCCACATGCGAAGAAAGTACATAAATGGAGCTAAACCATCGATCTGGTCTGTCTCTAGTTTTCACCATTGACGCTAATTTGAGGCCCATCTTAATTAAGTTCCCACTTGTTCTAGACTTGATTCGGAACAATGGCTGGAATTCGACACAAAGTTATATCTGCCGCACTTGTCGTGCTCGGTACCATTGTATCTCTCAGCACCTCAACAATGTCGCCCGCCGTCAATTACAACAACGTGCTCATCCACCAACGCGCGGACCCCCAGATTGTCAGACATACCGATGGGTGGTATTACTTCACAGCGTCAGTCCCCGAGTATGATCGGGTCATTCTTCGTCGTTCTGAGACTATACAAGGTCTCGCCGACGCTGAAGAGGTCGCTGTGTGGACAAGGGCGGACTCGAATGCAGGTGTAGGCTATGTTTGGGCTCCAGAGCTACATTACATCGACGGCAAATGGTACATCTATTTTGCTTTGGGGCGCGCTGCCCCTTTCGACATTCGCATGTTCGTCATCGAAGGAACAGGGGACAACGCACTAACTGCCGACTGGGTTGAGAAGGGTTTTATTACTTCGGACTGGGACACGTTCTCCCTGGACGCAACGACCTTTGTTGTCAAGGGCACGCGATACCTGTGCTGGGCTCAGTCAGATCCCAACTGGCAAAACGGTGTTGGTACAGGTCTCATGTTGGCTCCAATGGAGAACCCATGGTCCATCCGCAAGCCCGCAATCGTGATCACCCGGCCAGAGTTACCTTGGGAACGTATTGGCCACAACGTCAACGAAGGGGCATACGTGCTCGAACGCAATGGCAAACTGTTCTTGACGTACTCTGCAAGTGCCACCGATCAAAACTACGCGATGGGTCTTCTGACAGCCGACGCTGACGCCGACTTGATGGACCCGACATCATGGCGTAAATCGCAAGAGCCTATTTTCACCAGCAATGCGCAAACAAGTCAGTGGGGGCCCGGACACAGCGCTTTTACTGTTTCGGAAGATGGGTTGAGCGACCTGCTCGTCTTTCATGCCCGGCGACAGAATAAGGAAACTTGAGGGGAACCGCTAAACAACCCCGATCGTCATACCCGGATCCAAAAGTTATACTGGAACGCCGATGGCACCCCAAATTTCGGCATACCCGTAGCGGATGGGGAGACTCCCAGCCGCCTTCGTTCTTCGGCAAACTCAACGCAATACATTCGTCATAACAAACAAGGCGTTGTTACAGTCGAGGCAGATATTGGCTCTCTGGGCGAAGACCTATTCCGTATCGTCAGTCCTGGGCTCGCCGGTAAAGGTGCAGTGAGCATTGAGTCTGGTAGCCAGCCTGGATCCTTCCTCCGGGTTTCCGGTTCTACCGTCGAGATCCACACGAATGAAAACTCGACCGAGTTTGGTACTCTGTCCAGCTTTGTCCACCGTGAGGGTCTTTCTGACCCGAAGGGAGTCTCATTCGAAGTCGGCAAGGATTCAGGCCTTTACATTGCTTCTGAGAGTAATGGTCTGAGGGTCGTCGGCATTGGTGACATCAAAGGGCGTCTCGATGTCGCCACCTTCTACAAGGAATAGTGCGTCTTAGCTTCATGAAAGCTTCGCTAAGAAACATGGTTTCGGGACCAAAATGACACAACTTTGATGACTGAAACCCTTGTCCTATTTTGAATTCCATGTAAACAATCATCTGCAGCAGCAGCTGGGATCGTGTCAAGGATACATATCGTGATTGATTCACGCCGGATGCAATGGGCAGTGATGTACCTGTCGCCTTCAGGCAGATATTCCCATCCACGCTGCCCCTCCAATGACGGCGGCACCGATGACATAGGGACCAAGCTTGATAGCTGCAGCTCGAAAGACCCTGAGCTGCTTGTTGATGATAGTCCGTCGGAGCTCTGCCGCCTCGTTGCCATGTGGAAATGGAATTTCCGGAATATCCCTACCCAAAAATTCGCAAAGTGGTTCCCACCCATCACCCAGCTTGTACACCAGTAACTGTTCCGCAGGCACGAGTCTCTGAATACCGTCGTTGTGGCGGTCATAAAGTTCTCTCGTTCTCGAAACCAGATCACCAAGATCATTGGAGCGTGTCCAACCAAGCATCATTTTTTGGACGTTGGTGGCGGAATGGTCTCCTGTCCACGGCTCAAGGTAGTTTTTGATGAACATCGTGACCCTGCCGAATATACCCGACAACATGTCAACGAATGACTTATGCCATTTGTCGTAATCTCTGATGACAATGATGACCTTTGCGTCTGGGTATGATGCAATGAGGGACTCGGCGAATGGCCCTGCCAGGTCGGTGACAGCCTCGCACGAGCCAAATACTGCATCCCAATCCTTCGCTGTCATACCATTGCCATTGTATGACGGCAAGCTTGGGAAAAGTGCGTCTGCTGCACGGCCGAAGACCTCAAAGTCTTCGGGACTGTCAATAGCGTGAAGACCATGGTAGACATTTCTGTAGCCCAGTGCCGTGAGAGCCAGGCAGATGGAGTAAGAGCCTGTTCGAGGAAGTCCAACACTGAGGACCTTCATCTCCCTTGCGACCGGGGCAGCGTTCAGCTCGTTGATTTCCTTGCGCATCTTGCCTCTTCGTTGGTGGGGGACAATCGCATACACCTTCTCTTGCAAAATATAATATTTTGCCAGAACCAGCGTTGCGGCCAAAATCAACTGATTGAAGATGGCCGACCGGGCGTTCTTGAACCAAGACTGGGCTCAGACACCTGAGCGAGCGGTGTGGTTCGGAGGATCACATACGTCAGTCATTCCTTTGTGTCCAATCGGGCGGAGGGGAGAGGGGGTGGCCCCACCTTTGAACCCCGCTTGACTGTAATCGAACCCAAACTTGGTGTGACGGCAACGCTAGGCCACCGGATATTTCTGTCAGTGTGCACCTTCACTACCTTGTCACTTGCTATCGGCTGGACCAAAACTCGATTTCTCTCTTGTGTAGGTAGGTAGTTAAATTAAAGTCTTCATATACAGTCTACGCCAACGATTGTCTTGAACTGGCCAAGCACCCACATCTAGGTCGACACCTCAGTGGAAGCCCTCGGGCCAATAGTCAGCAAGCCACTCATACGGCTCCTCAGGCTCATAAAAGTTTGTCACTGAGCCGTTGAAGCTGGTTGTGATATGGTCTGTTGTGGTGTTGTAAAGCGCATACTTTTCGTCGGGGCCGGTGCCGATTGTATATGGCACCGTCTGGACGTTGTTTCCGATCTCCTTGTCGCAGATACGGTCAAGACCGCTCAACTGAGCGTTCTTCAGTCGGAACTCATCGCCGTAATTCGGGTTGATCTAGTAGTGGTAAATATTCGAAATGACCGACATCGGCTGCATTGGTTGGAAGACTTACTATGCCCATGCGAATTCCGTCCACGGCAACCACGTTTTGAATGGTTGCGTTACGCTTGGCTTGGTTCAGACAGTTTCCGCAAGACTGGTAAAAAGTACCAAAACCCTCGGCATAGAAGCCAGTAATGTTGTACTTTCCACCCAGTGAGTTGTCCTGGAAGATCTGCGAGGTTGGTCAGCGGATATTCTTTGGATCCAAATTCGAAGATATGATTGACCTTGTCCGTTGCGTTGCGAGCACCGCCACCAATGACTCTCAGCTGGGTGTTCAACCCCTTGGCGGTCAAGGCGTCTTCGCAGACATCCTCCCACCAAACTAAAATATCCATGTTAGTCTCTGTATCCAACAGTCATATCATACGGCCCAGCTTACCGTTCTCGACCCAGGCATCGCCAAGGGCATGAATGCCCTCGGCTTGATGCTTGCCAATGATAACATTCCTGATTGTGGATCCGGGCATGAGGTTGAATACAGCATCGGCGTCGGTACCTTCGGCCTGCTCATTACAGCTTCCTTCAGGACGTTCGTAACGCTTCATGCCTCCATCGAAAACCTGACCGGGCATAATGTACATGGCGTTCTCAAGAACGACTGTTTCGTTGGCGACGGGGAACTTGGTGACAGGGAAAGGGAATCGAGGAGGAGGCCTCTCTCCCAAATCACCTTGAGTCGAGTCCGAGTCGCCCTGTGAGCCATCCCCAGTCTGCCTACGCCCGACAGCGGCGGACTGGGCTAGAGCGGGAAGAAGACTTAGGAGAACGGCGGCCTTCATGGTGATCGAGGTAGAGGGATACGACGACGGAAGTCTTTCTGAGTGTGTCAAGCAGACAGTTGAATGAATGAGTCCCGCTGATCGAGGTCTTGAGAGCCAATTGATGATCCTACGGAGACAGAGGGATCTGCATGATGAGTGGGCGCAGATTATGGGCTGTCTTTTATACTTGAGATCTCATCATTTCCTGAGGGAGGCTGGCACAACAGTGACCGCTCTCCTCGAACCAAGCCTTGGCAAATTGTACACGCTGATCACTCTTTGACACAGCAAATTCTACAGCATCTCTTCTACTGCTCGCTCATACGTTGAGGCTCGTGCGTTTGTCTTGCGTTGCCATCTCGAGTGGTTCATGAACGGTCGGTGGCTTGCATGGATCGGAGAAATTGATTTTGGGTTTCCATGAATCACAAGCCGTGGATCTTGGAGAGTCTGCCCCGAGCTTGGCGCATGCTTGTTTTCATGCTTAACTTTTTCCCCGCATCTGCTGAGATTGGCTGACAACGGTTTTGCGGGGCATGGGGTTGGGTGGCCCCCCCCCTCGATTTTCCTCAAGATCGCTCTGCTGTGCATCCGCCAGCGTAGCTTGCAGGGCTCAGTAATAGCCTGAACGTGCCGTCCAGGACTTGGCCAGCTAGACAACGGCTTTCACTTGCTGTATCAGGACGCGCATGACCTCATGGTTGACCACAGAAGCAGCCTTTAAACGGAAGATCTTACTGCTACCTGACTTTGAGGCCAGGTTGGAGTCGATCCACCAACTATACTTCAGATCACTGGCCAGGATCATGTGAATCCTACACGAAGGCTAGAAGAAAAGGAAATAGTAAAGCCTGTGTCGCGAAAGTCATGTGCGCCACAGTCAGCCACTGCGGTCCTGGCACTTTACGGAAATTTCGATTCCTCTCTGGAGCAGCTGAGCAATCAGAAACAGAGATAGGCGCTCCCCGTCAGCTTTCGTATTGACCTAAGCATTCCCTCTGGGCTTTTCACTTAAGTACTGGCTATAGTCACAAATGCGCGGCTTATCGAAGCTCACTGATTAATGATGAGGTTTGTTATTCTGTGGATCGTCACATCACTTAAGGCTCACCCGACTTTTGCCTTCCTGTTGATGTTATGGTCGATGTGCCTATTTGAAATTGCTGTTCCTCGCGTGCCTGTAGCCATTTAATGCCAGGCATCAGTCGTCGAGAGGAATGGCCGTAGCTGTCGAGTCAGTCAGCTTCTTCAAGCCGAGAATCTGATTACATGAATGTTGGTTCACAGGCCTTCTCGCGTGTCGGTGATATAAAGCTCGAAAGAGAGCTATCTGTCTTCCTGCATACTAGGTTTCGCCATTATGGTTTCCATGCTTGTTGAGGCAGGAAGGATGTTGATCAAATGTAATGGCGGCTCTCTTGCTTTTTCACCACCACGCGTCTATGAAACAGGGGACAGGTTCAGAAACTACCTGAACTGTGACGGTGGTATCTGCCATGGACTTCATTCCATGGTTCACTCTTCATGCCTATGCTAGCATGCGAATCGTGTTTTGTGGGAAGAATTGCAATACGTGGTATGTGGTATGTTGTCAGGGCAAGGATTGTCTAGATACAACCAGCATACCAATATCCACCACAATTACGTACCTATATAGAGCCAATTACCAAAGCCGTGTAAGCCCCAGATACGATTGGGCTCTGGGGTTATGCACCGGAACGAAGGTCTATAACATGTTTTTTTACGTCGACTGAAACAGGTCAAGTCTATCATACCTCTCAGAACTACTTAGCAGACAACAACTTTTCAAAGTATCTAAGCCCCGAGCGACTGGATATACCTGTCAGGTGGCCCCTGTGGACCCGCAGAACGGTGCTGGTTAGGACCTAGGGACGATGGGAACGCGTTTATAAGGGTTGCGGAGGGCAGTCCTAGCTGCGGAGGGCCAGAATTCAGACGTGTTGAACAACTACCTATATTTGTTATCCATTGCCTGCTGACCTAACGTGGAAGTCTTTTTCACTCTGCTCAACCCTACGCTCTGATAGATATCTAGCGAAATGAGAAGTTGAATAACAACTTGCTCAGTCGAAAGTCTAAGTAGCAGCATTGCATCAAGTTCAGTAATACCCTTGCTTCTTTGTGCTCTCAAATCAATTGGAAGACGCTCGTATGAGCGCCAATTTGCAAGTGCTCAGCGAAAGCTATCAAGGCACCAGAGAGAGTAGCGAACTGGCAGCTTCCATCCCTGCTATCATGACTTGGGTTGGCACTTGATAAATCGCGACTCGAGTATGGATGGTGCAATCTGGAGGCCAGACTTTCGCTCTCGCTCCCAACGATGAAGAGGAATTGATAAGCAGACCGGAACCCATCCACCAACATAGCCCGCAGAGGCCGGATAACAAGGCACGCGATGCATAAAGTCGCTCGATAAGGAGTCGTGCGGGTCTATCGTGTATTCCTGTTGATCTGAATGGTGAGTTTTCTCGAGAGCCCTGCAGATAGCGTCGATGCTAAATGTTGCGCAAGATCACGCCATGCATCCAACTGGCCACCCGGCGGGGCCGATGGATTCCCATACCTCTTCCACAGCTACGTATTTCAAGGGTCCTCTGATATATTGCACTGGTGATGGATGGCCTTCTGGTCTGTTTAACTTTTACTTTAGACAGATCGAGCCAAAAATACCGGAACGAAATGCCAACTTCAATTGCACAGTTTACGCCCATCGAGGTGGTCAACAACAATGACATCCTCTTCTCGAATCCAACAAGTGCTTCAGACACGGCTCACAGCCTTACATCAGCCTCGCCGGATGACAAAACATCACCGGCACAAAAGTCTGTGGCTGTCATCGGCGCAGGAGTGAGCGGTGTCTTAGCCGCCGCTCATCTCCTGAGACGCAACCAACGCGTGACCGTCTTCGAGAGATCCTCATCCGCTGGAGGAATATGGCGATATATCGAGGACCAACCAGAAGACCCCGAATATCCTGATACTCTGGCTGCAGAAAGCCCTGCTGAGGTCTTTCCAGACAGGCCTGCCTCAAGAACCACTACGCTCCAGGGTGAGAAAGGCCTGACTCGGAAGACATTCGCACCACCTGGACCTTGCTACGCAGGCCTCCGTAGCAACATCCCAACCTATCTCATGAGAAGTTCTCTATCTGCCTGGCCTGAAAGTGCTGGCCGCGATGTGGTTCCTCATCACTTGGTCAACGACTACATTCAAGGGCTGGCACAAGATTTCGGCGTGAATGCTGTAACTGAATTCAACACGCGTGTGGAAGAAGTTATCAAGCCAGAAGGTCAGGGTCAATGGAAGGTTCGAACTCTTCGAATCGACAACAAGAACGCAAAAGATGCGGAGCCTACATTCTTTGAGGAGGAGCACTTTTTTGACGCTGTCGTCATCGCGTCTGGTCATTATGACATACCCTTCATCCCCAAAATACCAGGGCTGAGTACATTGAAGAAACAATTCCCCGAGAGAGTCACGCATTCCAAGCAGTATCGTCATCCGGAGACTTTTGCTGGCCAGAATGTTGTCGTCGTGGGTGGCCGGGTGTCGGCCGTCGACATATGTCGTGAGTTGGCCGGCATCTCCGCCAAAACGTATCAGAGCGTACGGGAGAGCACAGAGGCCTTCAACTTCAATATTCTCGGCGATCAAACAGAACGGATATCGGAGATAGATCACATTGTCCCCCAAAACCAGGTTTCTGCAGACGAGACAGTTCTGGAACAAAACAATGCTCTGCCGGTACAGCTCCATCTGAAGGATGGTCGCGTCTTAGATGGCATACACGCCATCATCTTCGCCACCGGATATCAGCTTACGTATCCATATTTGAGGTCTTTTGAAGTTGCTCCAGATCAGGTGACACGGACGTCACTTGTCGAATCCACGAAGTCGACAGTCCACAACCTCTACAAGGACACGTTCTACATTCCTGACCCAACACTGACTTTCGTTGGTACGCCATTCGATATTGTCACGTTCGCCTGCTTCGATTATCAAGCCCAGGCAATCGCCCAAGTGCTCTCGGGTGCTGCGGCTTTGCCGAACCACGATATTATGCGGGCTGAGTACGAGACGCGACTGACAGCAAAAACTGCCAGCAGGCAATTCCACAGTTTGCGAGGCAGCGAGATCGAATATGTTCAAGGTCTGGTAGATTGGCTCAATAGTGAAGCTGATCGTCTAGGAGTAAAGGGACAGCATATAGAGGGATATTCGAAGGAGTGGATCGAGGGATACTGGATTTTGCAGAAGAGGGTGTCGGCAGCTCTGGGATTGCAGGACCCCACGCAATTGGAGACATAGATGACAGCATGGCATGCCGTGTGTTCTGAACTGGCCAGGACGTGCGGTGATTCTGGTACCTGGATTGTCGAAAACAGAAAATGAGAGAGACCAAATGCGGCTTCTAGCATTTTCCGACCACCCAGCTCATGCCACGTGATGTGTGTAGAGACGAGTAACATCAAGACGAGGATTGTTCACGAAAACACAAACAAAGCTTCAACACGCCAAAACTCATTGTATTGGCTAACATCTCCCCTTTCCAAGGAGTTCACTGTCCTGAGAGACCTCCGGTCGGTCCACCCCCAACCTTTGGCGAGCCCACCTGCAATGAGTCCGGAGTCCGCATTCAAATACCCCACCGGCCGTCATACTGGACAACCGCATTAAAGGAGTCCCTGTGCAAATAAAAAGGAACAAACATTCCCGTTGAGGCCGAAGACCATTCTGAAAGTGTTTCACCCTCCCGTTCCCCAAGAACCTTTCGTGGTGGGTAAATCGTACAAAGCGCTTAAGTCATACACACACTCTCGATTTGAGTGAGAAACAGTCGCATGAGTTCCGTCCAATTACCGCATGTCGAAGCTAGACCGCTCAGCTGGCAGGAGATCAGTCTTGATTGCTCGATCTCCAATCTCTCCGCGAACTACCTCTCTAATGGTAGTTGCCGCCCCAGCCGCGCTGCTGCTGTTGCTGCTGTTGCTGCTGGCCGCCACTGCCATAAGCCTGGGCCCCGTACGAGCCATAGGCCTGACCGTAGGAGCCGAAGCCGTTGTTAGCATGCTGTCCGCTACCGCCCATACCGTACCCGCTTCCGCCGTGGAGACTATGGCCTTGTGCGTGGCTAGGGTAGCCGCCGTATCCACCCATTTGCGAGGCAGATTGAGGGGGAGGCAGGCCAGTCTGGCTGGACGTGTTCTGCGTGGCAGAGCCAGGACGAGCACCGCCAAGAGAGGGCGAAGGGCCTGCTCCGGCCTTGGTTTCACCGTATGGCTTCAGGTCGTCGCTAGTAGATGCGCCAGTCGATGGCTGAGCGGAGGCGTTATAGCCCTGACCAGAAGACTGAGTGGGGAAAGACGAGCCGCTGCGACCGAAAGAGTCCTGGATACCTCCAAAGCCACTGCCGCCAAGGCTACCGGGGTTGCCAGACTGCGCAGAGCCGGCGCGGGCACCATAGTCACCACCAAGACTGGAGCCACCCAGGCCGCTGTCGCCGCGGTGGAGAGATGATTGGGCGAATCCGCTGGCGGGAGACGAGGCATGTTCATAGGGACCCTGAGGGGACATGCCATACGGCTGTCCGTACATGCCAGCCTTGCCGTAGGGGCCACCTCCGTAGCCACCCTGGCCAAAGTGTCCGCCGTAGCCCATGTAGTTGGAGTAGTAAGGGTTGTTGTAGTAGGGGTGGTTGCCGTTACCACCGCCATAGGGATAGTTTTGTTGGCCGTGGGATTGCGGCTGGGTACCTTGGCCGGCGGCCTGCTGTTGAGCCTGAGTAGAGGGATTGGGAGTCGTGTGTCCGCTGTTGGCATCGTTTGAGACCGCCCCACCGTAGCGAGACTGGTTGTGAAGGCCGGCGCTCTGGGGGTACTGGCTGATGTTCTCGGCCTGCGACGTGTTGTAGCCGCTGAAGGATCGCTGCTGACCGGCGACACCTTCCTGGTGGCCTTGGCCGCTCTGCTGGCCGTAGGGCTGACCGTAATAGCTATAGGGGCCGCGTCCCTGTGGGTCGGAGGTGTAGTAGGAGGAATACTCGCTGGGCGCGGAGCTGAATGCGCCACCAGGCTGTTGAGCCTGTTGGGTTTGCTGGCTTGGGAAGCCGTCCAGACGGTTGGGAGTAGAAGAAGTATTGGTCTGCTGCGAGAAGGGATCGATCGACTTCTGGGGGAAAGATGAAGCATCCTGTGAGCCAGGCTGGCCGTACTGGGAATACTGTCCCTGAGGCTGTCCAACGCCAGGAGGAGCTATCGGGAGGTCAGCGACATGTTGCGACTGTGTGACGTGTTACTCGACTTACGCTGAACCGAAGAGGCGGGCTGGGCCGCAGGGGCGGTAGCGGGCGTAGCTGTAATATGATGGTTAGCATGCTTCGTCAAATAAGTACTTTGTCAGAGATGTTTACCTGAGGGGGCGGCGGAAGGGGCAGGGGCCGCCTGCGTCTTCTGGTTACTGAAGGCCTCCGGCACGGCAGCCTGAGGGGCAGCAGGTGGGAGAGAGGTTCGGGGTTGGGCGATAGGGGACTCTGCCGGGGGCTGAGCGCGTGTTTCAGGTTCCTCACGATCGCCATCAACATCATCCTCGCTGCCGATATTGAAGGCACCGAACTGGACGGCGGTGCGGTCGACCTCGCGGTTGCCCGGCATGCGGACCGCCTCCTCCTGGTCAAGTACTCTGCGCTGGAAGCTGGGAGTACGAGTGGCGCGATCAGTAGTCGCCTTTAGAGCTGAGGTCGCATAGCCGCTGTTAGAGGTGGGGGTCGCCGGAGGGCGGGAGGCTTGGTGCGCTTGCTGTGCGGCAGAAAGAGGCGTGGCGGTGGCACTGGCAGCATTGAGGCGAGGATCCCACGAATCAGCTGCGGTGCTTGCAACGGTCGCGGTCGCGGGAGGGTGAGAATCATCAGCGACCTGTTCAAGATTGGTCTCAGTCAGTTGGTCCTTGGACGGCTGTAGGGCCACTTCAGGCTCAATGACGGTAGGTACTTCAGCTGCGATGGGCTCCTCAATGGCTTCGGCGGGAGCTTCAGGTGCGGTCTCGGGCTCGGGCTGAGCCTCGGGAGTAGGCTCGGGCTCGGTTTCGGGTTCAGCGCGGGTGACGGGAGGGAGAGGTTCAATGGATTCGGCAAGCTTCACGGTGGGAGCTTCCTTAGGTTGAGCGACGGGCTTTGGAACGGCAGCCTGGCGGAGCATGCTGGCCCAAGTCTTGGGAGCGTTCGAAGGCGGAGCGGGCACCTGAGGAGATTCATCAATGGGAGCGATGGCAATCGTGGTGGGCTGGACGACAACATCCTCAGTCTTGGACCCCCAAGCGGGCGACTCTTCGGTGGGCACCGAGAGAGGCTGGCTGTCCTTTGTCGTCTGGCGAGCTCCGTTCGTTGGAGCCGGTTGTGAGGACCTGCCCCGACCACCACGCCCACCTCGTTCGGTGGCTCGGCCGCGGCCGCGTCCACCCTCTGAAACGATGCGACCGCCACGTACAGGCCTGCTGATGGAAGCAGATGAGTCGATGTTAGTGGCAGGAGCGGTCGAATCCTTGGCCTTGGCACGGGAGACCTTCTTGACCTTGGAAACTTCGCCCCATTGAGAGATGGTTCCTGCGAGATCAATTGGTTAGCCGCGTGGTCAGTTTGCCGCGTGGTCAGTTTGAAGACGAAATGGTATTGCCGATCATAAATTGGTAGGTGGGATGCAAACTGGGCGGACGTGACGGCCGACTAGACCATGGATGGGGGCTGAACATGGCAATTGGGAGAGACGCGACGCAAGCTTGTGGGGAGGCGAAAACGCACCTTCAGCAATGCGCGTGACAGCCTCGGTCTCATCACCATCTGTCTCCTGAAGAGCGAACAGAATGTCGACTTCAGACCACTCAGGGAACATCTCCTGAATCAAAGGCGTCTTGGCGCCGTATAGCTTCTTGAGTTCGCCGACCGCTCCCTCATCGTCGAACGCGCTCGGGTTGTCGACCTCGGACTTCGAATCAGTCTTGTCGGCGCCGTTGGTCCTGCCGCCGTTGCGACCTCCACGGCTGGCAAATCCGCCTCTGCCACCGCGACCAGAGCCCCTGCCGCGCGAGGCAGCAGGCCGCGTTTGAACGTCGGACATGATGTGGTGCTAGATGAAGCACAGAATTTGGGGGGGTTTTCCACGTGGGAAGGAGCAGGCTCGATTACGCACTGTCCCGGGGGGGCAAGGCAGCTTTCGATGTCGAGTTGAGGATCGACTAGGTGTAGAAGAGGGAACAAGGAAATGCGGCGGATGGACGGAAGGAAACGTCGTGCGGGCGGTCGGTGGGCTCGATGGGGTTGGTGATGATGATGAGGTGGATGGAGGAGGATGTTTTGTGCAGCTCGGAAAAAGTTGACCTCGAACTGAGAATGGAACCTTAGGCTTCAGCCTGGGGCGAACTGGGACAGGACCTGGAGACAAGAAACAGGCGTGAGTGTGTGTGGGCACAGGGCAGCTGAGGTCGGGTAGGGGGGTGCTGCAAGGGAGCATAGCCAGGGGCCATGCTCCAGGTACTTCAGCGGCCGTGTGCAGCAGGAACGGCCCCCTTTGCTGACGCTTTGGGTCTAGTTCATACTCCGAAGGGGCTGTGGACAGCACGGATTAATGTTGTAGCGGTGCTAGGGATCCTCCCGTCTATCACGTGAGTCAACCTCTGGGACTCATGTGACTGTCGTAGCCTCGCTGTGGCAGGCTTCGTGGGGAACCACCAGTCTCCTGTCTGACGTGATGCCATCAGGCCATACTTTCGCCCACACCACCTGTTGCCATTCTTATTGACGACTAAGGGTCCTCGACTTGTGATCTTCACTGGGCACGAGCTTCTCGCCCACTTGCTCCCAACCCAATTCACGATATCGTAACGAGAACCAGTATCTACCGATTCGATCCGTTCTACACCTAGCCAAGGTAGCCATCCTGGGCACAGAGGCATCTGGTCGCTGCCATGTTCAACACGACAAAATCGCTTTCCTCTTTGAAGGGCGTCTTCCCTTCCATTCACCAACCTCTACCTCTTTCTCGTGCCGAATCTCAGAAGCTCCTCAATGCACTCAAGACGTCCTTTCGATCGAATCTCGATCGTGAACATGGCTGGGGTCCCGATGAACCGACGTTGTCGCCCAACAAGTTGTCTAGTCCAACAGTATCTGAGCAGTCCGGCATTCATCAACACCACAGACCTACCGACCAGCATCTCCGCGCCATCCTCTCGAATCCGCTGTTCAAGAAGGGTATCCGCACAACCCCCCGCGCAGACGCATTACAAAAGGATCCGATGGAAGTCTTCGACAAGGCTGTCGCGCGAGGCATGATGAATCGGAAGGCGGCAACAGGGTGCCTGATGGCTAAGCATCACCAGGTTCTTCAGTCAAGTCCATTGTCCATACAAGGTGCTATCTTGGAATCGGCAGCTGGCCTTCGAGTTCTTGATTGGTTACGGTCTTCCGGCGAGGAGCGAGATGGTGCGTTTCTGGGGGACGCCAGTTTCCTTAATGCTCTCATGCGATTCCTCGTTGCGGAAGGGCACGAGGCCGTTGTGTGGGAATGGGCAGATCGCTTGGCGAGACAGGACGGACCGTCAATACCGGAGGATCCTCGCGGCACACATCTCAGTTTCATTCTAACAAGCCTCATCAAGACGAAGGCCAACGGCTCCGATGACAGGAATCTGAACAGTGCTTATGCGACCATCCTGAGGGTCAACGACAGGTGGAAATCGGACAAGAACTTGCCGCAGCTTCTAAGCCATGCTTGGCGGTCACTGTCTTGGTACTCAACAGTCGAAGCCTGGAACAGGCCACGTCCTTCCGAAGCACTGTTCGACAATTACGTTGCCTTGGAACCGGAATTATCCCATCCAATGTCCATTGATCGTGCGCATCTCGACCTACACCACCCCACCCACCCAAGCTTCGAGCGCGCACTTCACTTCTTCAAAACGGACAAGCTTGTTGTGCCGCCTCAACCAAGCCTTGTAGGAGCGAAACGGGCCCCGAACGTTCAGAGATTTATTGCGCGCATAACATCAATGGGCATGGATACGGCGAAGCATCTAACAGAAATTGGGCGCACTGACGATGCTCAATGGGTGTTGCAGCTTCTGAAATCGAAGCTTTCCGACGAGGCGATGGATTATGAGCGGTGGCGGGTTGTATGAGTATATGTCTTCACCACCTAGGACGTATCTTGCCAGGATTGCAGGACGCATTTCTTTTTAACCATGATACCCACGAATGTCCAGCGTTTTCTATCTCCACTCCTTGTCTCTACACTTCGTGATCCACTGTTGCATGTATTTCAAAGGTCATGACTTGACGCTGTAATCCTCAACTTCGTGCACACGTACAACTACGAGATTCTGGGCCCTCGCTCTAACATGAGACAGCCCGTAAAGCAACACCAGTCATATGACGCCGCCTTAGCATGCTGCGGCAAAGATTTGCAAAGTGACAGCTATGCTTGAGCCATGTATCTCTCTCACTTGAAGGCGCCGAGGATGGTTCTTTAAACCTACTGAGAGGCTCAACTAAGTGACAACGTTGTAGTATCCTCTAGCTCTGCTACACGAGTATGCTTACTCCAGCCTCTGCTCCTTTATGGTTGAACTGAAAGTATGTGCATATCAGAGGGACGGGCAATAGTAGTCGAATCAAAATGTAGAGGAAGTCGCCATCAAAGAGCTCGAGGTAAATTGCTATAATCGAATCGAGCAATACATGTGATAATCGAAGAGGGGTATGCGAAGTTTGACCCCGCGCCATTCGTCAAGGGAATTAACGCCATTAGACGGATAACATATGAAACCCAATCATTGTGAAGAAACCAAGGCTATCTCGCAGCTACTGGTGCTGGTGCTGCCGCCTCCGCCGCCGCCGCCGCCGCTTATATGTGTATGCAACAACTCCCCCAAGGTTGTGAACGATCAAGGTTTGGGCACAACGTGAACGACAATCTTGCCAAATGGCGTCTGGCCGTGCTCGCCCTTGAGCTTGAGGTAGGCTTTGGGAACTTCATCAAACTCAAAAGTAGAGTCAATGATGGTCTTCAGCTTGCCCTGAGCTATCCAGTCTGAGATCTGCTGAAGGTCGTCGTGGTCATTCTTGACGAGGAAAGTCTGGAACTTGCGCTTGCCGCCGCCAAGGAACTTTGGCAAGAGCAGGGACTGGGAGAGTCGACGCGCGCCGTCCAGAGTCATGGCACCGCCAACATGAACATACTGGCCCTTGGAGACAAGGAAAGTATCGGACTCGGTGTAGAGGTCGGCGGGAGAGTTGCCGACATTGTCGACGCAAAGCTTGTAGACTTGGCCGCGTTCCTTGAGGATCTGGGTGACGTCGCATGAGGTGTAATCGATAGTCTCGTCGGCACCAAGCTCTTTGCAGAGCGCCGCCTTGTCAGCGGAGCAGGAGACGGTGACAAAACAGCCAAGAGCTTTGGCAATCTGGATACCAAATGTTCCTGTGCCACCGGAGCCGCCGTTGATGAAGATCTTGTCGCCCTTCTTGACATGAGGACAAATGGTCTGGTAGGCTGTCAAGGCAGCCGTGGGGGCTCCAGCAGCAACGTCAATGTCGACGCTGGTGGGAACCTTGGCCACATCCTCGTATGATGCGACGATGAACTCGGCGAGAGAACCCTCGGAGCCGGACGGCTCAAGACGTCCCAGAACCAGATCACTGGGACGGATGTCGCCAATCGTCTTGCCCACGGCAACAACACGGCCGCAGAAATCCATGCCCGCAGTCTTGGGGAACTCAACCATGGCGTGCGCAAAGACTCCAAGTTCGGGGACCTTATAATCTGCAGGGTTGATACCAGCACTGAGGACCTGAATGAAGAGCTGGTCGGTCTCGAGACCAATGGGGAGACGGGGGAGGTCATCGTGGAGTTTCAGGTTCTTCTCGAAGTGGCCAGGCGAGGACAACTGCCAGGCCTTCATTTGCTGACTGGGCGGCATGGCGATGATGGTTTTGGTGGTCGTATAGGAAGTTGTGTGATGATGGTTTATGGACAGGGGAGGGAACGCGGTAGCCGTTGTCAAGTCGGACTGGAAGCTCGATGGTGATGGGAGGGGAAGGAAATAAGGATTAAAGTAAGGTAGAAGAGGGGTAGCAGTAGCTCTCAGCCAGGACTGAGCTGTAGTGTAGATGTGGATGATGCGGGGGCGGGGGGGTTCAAAAGGTAGGGCAGGGCAAAGCGGGTAAGGGTGATGAGAGAGATCTTTTGCGCCAGTCAAGATGTATTCGAGGGAAAGTCGTCACTTATGCTTTCTTCGTTGTTGAGCAGGGCATGCTATGATGGTTGGGGCGGTTGGTCTTTTAGCTTGAGGTGGCGGTTAGAGCAGATGGCCGAAACGAGGTTCGAGGCCAACACGTCAAGGGTGAGCGCTGACAATGAGAAAAGGGATCGAGGGCCCAAATCACGGCGGATGAGGTTGTC